ATAGCTGACGCAGTCGGCATGGAGATGAAATGACCAACATGAAGACGAAATTGCTCATCAGAAGTAACGGAAGACGTCAGTGGTAGTAAAGATGCCATCAATCAAATGTAATAAAGTTGCATAACCATGGAGACGAAGAAACCAGTCGGCAACAGTCAGGTCAGCTAGCAGTGAAGATGTAGGCGCCCAACAACAACGAAAGAACAGTCGGTGGTGACAAAAGCAAACCGACGATGAAGACGTAGACGCGCATCAACGGTGATGGCGAAATCCACCAATCATGAAGATGAAGAAAATAATCGGCGGCGACAAACGCATCCGACGGTAATGATGATTAGCGGCAACAGAGATAGCCGACTATGATGATGAAGTTTCCCATCAACGACAGCAGAGTAGGCTATGTTGAAGAGGCTTGACAAGATGTTGATGAAGATGATGATGTCGGTGATCCAGTCAATAGCGATGTAGCAGCCGATGATAACGATGAGATCCTCTATCGGCAGTTGCGTAGTAGGCCAACCGTGAAGACAAATAATTGGAGGAGAGTTGATGTTGTTGCCCAACTCGTCTAAACCGAAATATTTGAAGTTGTTGAAGTAGAATGTCTGCTCTGAATCAAAGATGAAGATAATGACTCCTGGAGTTGACTCGTTGGTTGATGAATTGATTTCTTCAGCTTGACATAAAATTTGTCAAATTTTGAGCCTTGTATTTGTGTAGCCCCCGACTCTTTGGTTAGTTGGGAAACAACTGAACATAGAGTCGAGAATTATAGCTTCTTGTCGTCGAGTAGTCATTGCTTGATTGAAGATATGTGTTGAAGATGTCCAAGTAGAAATCCTGAATATTGGAGAGCCTCTTGTTGTAGTAAAATAACATGGCATCGCATGCCGAGATGTCGAGGCTCACAAAGACGTCGTGGTTGGTGAAGTAGCAAAACTTGCGAAGTAGCAGCAATAGAGTTTGCCAGTGCCGAAGATAATAAAGATGAAGTCGCTCTACCATGATGACAAAGTTGCATTGCCGTGATGAAGTGAACACGAGTCGTCGGCAACAGAAGCAAACTGGTAGTGAAGACGCGCAGTTGTGAAGATAAAAACACCAGTCGACGGCGGCATAACCAGTCGGCGACGGAAGATGATGATGTCCATCAGTAGTGGTAGCGGTATAAACCAGACGTAGAGGCGAGGGCACTAGTCAACAGCAGACGAGATGACCGGCGGTGAAGAAGATAAGGCCAATCAACACTGGTAGAATCATGCAGCCATGGAAGTGCAGAAACTAGTCGGCAGCCATGGCAAACGTAGGCAGCTTGTGTTGAAGATACTGATGCCTATTAGTAGTGACAGCGATGTAGCCAGCCGTGAAGAAGATAGCATCAGTTGGCGTTATAACAGGCCAGCCGTGCAGGCGGTGACACCAGTCAGCGGCGGATGCGGCGGCCGGTCGGTGAAGACGTAGACGCCCAACAACGGTGGCATAATAGGCCAGCCGTGCAGGCGGAAACACCAGTCGGCGGCGGCGAAGGCAAGCCAGTCGGTGAAGACGTAGATGCCCAACAACGGCGGTCATAATAGGCCAGCCGTGCAGGCGAGGACACCAGTCGGCGGCGGCGAAGGCAAGCCGGTCGGTGAAGACGTAGACGCCCAACAACGGCGGCATAAAGGCCAGCCGTGCAGGCGGAAACACCAGTCGGCGGCGGCGAAGGCAAGCCGGTCGGTGAAGACGTAGACGCCCAACAACGGCGGCATAAAGGCCAGCCGTGCAGGAGGAAACACCAGTCGGCGGCGGACGAGGCGGCCGGTCGGTGAAGACGTAGACGCCCAACAACGGTGGCATAATAGGCCAGCCGTACAGGCGGAAATACCAGTCGGCGGCGGTCGAGGCGGCCAGTCGGTGAAGATGTAGACGCCCAACAATGGCGGCATAATAAGTCAGCCGTGCAGGCGGAAACACCAGTCGGCGGTGGCGAAGGCAAGCCGGTCGGTGAAGACGTAGACGCCCAACAACGGCGGCATAATAGGCCAGCCGTGCAGGCGGAAACACCAGTCGGCGGCGGCGAAGGCAAGCCGGTCGGTGAAGACGTAGACGCCCAACAACGGCGGCATAATAGGCCAGCCGTGCAGGCGGAAACACCAGTCGGCGGCGGCGAAGGCAAGCCGGTCGGTGAAGACGTAGATGCCCAACAACGGCGGTCATAATAGGCCAGCCGTGCAGGCGAGGACACCAGTCGGCTGCGGCGAAGGCAAGCCGGTCGGTGAAGACGTAGACGCCCAACAACGGCGGCATAAAGGCCAGCCGTGCAGGCGGAAACACCAGTCGGCGGCGGACGAGGCGGCCGGTCGGTGAAGACGTAGTCGCCCAACAACGGTGGCATAAAGGCCAGCCGTGCAGGCGGAAACACCAGTCGGCGGCGGCGAAGGCAAACCGGTCGGTGAAGACGTAGACGCCCAACAACGGCGGCATAAAGGCCAGCCGTGCAGGCGGAAACACCAGTCGGCGGCGGCGAAGGCAAGCCGGTCGGTGAAGACGTAGAGGCCCAACAACGGCGGCATAAAGGCCAGCCGTGCAGGCGGAAACACCAGTCGGCGGCGGTCGAGGCGAGCCGGTGGTGATGTTCTGACTGATCCATTCCTGGAGCGTAAGAGATAAGCTTAAAGCCATGAATCCCTTTTATGCATATCTGGATCTGGATCCTGTAGAACAAACATATAGGATGAGTAGTATCTGATATAAATATAATACTCGAGAAAAAAATCAAGTATTTTAAAATATTTATAAATATGTATTTCTCCTCTTGTCAATTTTGATTTCCCCGAGCAGATGATTCATTACGTTTAAACGCTCTGTCCGACTAGTCATAGCCCCCAAGCAACGGGAGTCGGCCTAGGCACTTCCCAGACATGCATATGAGTGACATGAGTTCGCCATTAATGGAACAAAGTTTCACGGATTAGAATTTACTACTCAGGTACTTTTGCAATTATTAAGAGCAAAAAATAAATTTATCTCATCTCTATGCTTTTGATTTATTCCGAATAATACTTAGCACCTTGCGTTACTCGGTCCATCCAACGAGCCCCCGGGTGCTAGGAATCGGCCCAAAGGCAACCATCCATTGGCAAACCAAACGGAAAGCATAGGAAGATAGAACTCCATAACTCGATAGGTACTTTTGTACTCAGATTATGTCACAAGCAATCAAGATAAATATTATGAAAATTGTTTAAAAAATACGATATAACATCTATAGCCCCCGACTCACTATTCAACGGCGAACCAGTTGATGTAGTGAGGCAAAGGAAAAGACAAAATATCATATAAAGAATAAAATAAATGATGACTTAGCTTTGTCGTATTCCCTCGATGACAGCAGAAGTAGCCGATGTGGGAATAAAGCAGTCCATCAATAGTGACAAAAACACCAGTCGGCGCCAGTGGAACCAAGCCAGTGGTGAAGTCGTAGACGCCCAACAGCAGCAGCATAATAGGCTAGCCGTGTAGGCAGAAACACCAGTCGGCGGCGGCGAAGGCCAGCCGGTCGGCGAAGACGTGAACGCCCATGAACGGTGATGTGACCAACCAACCGTATAGGCGAGGACACCAGTCGGCGACGACGGAGGCAGGCCGGCGATGAAGTCGTAGACGCCCAACAGCGGCGGCATAATAGGCCAGCCGTGTAGGCGGAGACACCACTCGGCAAGAGTAGTGCCGCAGCATTACATGCAAACAGCAGAAAATACCAAGAGATTAATCTGAAATTTAAAGATCAATCTAATAAACAACAATAAGTTGAAAGGGAAAAAACCCGGCGAAGTCGGAGATTAAATTGTTGAACTCGCCGAGATTGATCTCCTTGATCGGACTGACTCCGAGACGGAGAAAATTAGTCATTGGTGTTGCACTGTGTTGCTAGGACTGATCAAGCGATCCATAGCTCGTCATGTATAAAGTTATGGATGTACATATTGCCCGTATTCTCGGCAGCAGATGGCTGTTTAATTTTGATCGATGTCCGGCAAACAACCACGTACAGCTCCCGAATATATGCAAAACAAGCGACAAAGTTTATCGTTAGCCTGTTATTAGCAAGTAGAGAGATAATGACTATATATGGATCAATTTGCCCTGTACGTATCCAGCAATATTGAATGCATGTATGGCTGGATTAATTAATCCATGCATGGCGATTGAATCGATACGTCCTGTACATCTCCAGCGATCTCGTCTCGTGAACTTTCGTGCATGTCCTGCCAGCCCACGACTTGGATTCGCTACGAGTGGACGGCTTCGCCTTGCGTAGCTGCGGCTTACCATGCCCAATTGAGCACGTTGCGCCAGCATCAAGCAATAGAGAATAAAAAGAAGAATAGCATCAAGCAGTGACTAGAATTAATCCAATAAATAACGGATTGGGAAGAAAAAGCTGATGACATCGAAGATTAAATCTATCAAGTTCGCCGAGATCAATCTCCCTGTCAGGATTGGATCTTGGAGCAACAGTGGTGCCGGTGATTCCTGAGATAAGTTCCATCGCACTTCTTGATAGATAACTCGGCGTTCCCCTACCTGGCGCGCCAACTGTCGAAACATGATTTCGGCAATAATAAAAAGGGGTAGCGCACGAGACCTAAAAGTGGATGGATGCAGAGACAAAGGATTTAGACAGGTTCAGGCCCTCTCAATGAGAGGTAATACCCTACTCCTGTTTGGGGATTTGAATCCGCCGGGTGTGTATTGATCTGACGATCAGGTTGTCTCATATGCCCCCTAGAGGGCCTCCTACCCACCTTATATAGGATGGGGGGCAGGATTACAAGATAGAAACCTTAACCAATACGGTATCGGTTTCCTAAATCTACTTTACAATATTATCAAACCAGGACTTTAGGCCGTTCCGTAATATACAAGGAAACGTAACACCCAAGTCATGATCTGTTACATATTACATAAATATAAGTTATCCCCTATAACTAGTCGGATAACCATGCCGTGTGGGTATGGGGTACCCATAATCTCCACAGGTTAATTTTCACTCATGCTCTCTCCTCTGTTACCTTGACATACTTGTTTGAATGGTGAAAGCAAAATGCCATAACACTTGTACGAACACTTGTTTTTGGTTGCGTCAGCCGAAGAGCAGCACACGCCGCGCCGCCGAGATGCCGCGCCCTGCGCCTATAGGTGCCGCTGTGGTGTTTTTTTCCATTTTATTTTTTTTTTCGTGTGTGAATTGAGGGCAATTTGGTCATTTTTATGATTATAACGGTGTGCAATAGACGGTAGGTTGACGGCGATGGTATTTCTGGGAGAAAAAGGCTTGTATGATGGTATTTCTTGAAAGTTATCTAGGATCAGGGTGCTTGTCGATGGTATTTTATGGATTTTCTCTCAAAGTTGTATTACCATCTCCTATCCAAGGACATCACTCCAAGCAAATACACTCAGATTGCAGGGGTTCCCAACTCCTTTACTTCGTTTTTCGCACTCACGCTTTTCAAACTGCTAAACTGTGTGTTTTTTTGTAAAAAGTTCTTATACGAAAGTTGCTTAAAAAATCTTATTAATCTATTTTTGAAAAAAAAATTAGCTCAAACTTAATTAATCACGCGTTAAGCGCTATTTCGTTTTGTGTCGGAACACAGCCTAAGATGCAGATAGTGGGAATCTAATTGGTGCAAGTCTAGACAAACTGGGCAAACTAACTTTTAGGTTCTAGTTTATTTTTAACTACAGTTTTTCAGATTTTGAAAAAAAAAACTATTTAAGATATCTTTTTATTCTATAAAATAGGAGTACGCTGCAGCTAGGCCGTATACGAAATTACGAACACAAACAGGTAGTACGACCTTCAAGGGCCAAGGCCACCTCGCCGGCTTCCTCGCCCTCGCGCGCCTCCTCCGCCGCGACGCCCTCCTGCCCGACGGCGACGTCGACGTCACGCTCGTCTGCACCCCGCGCAACGGCGCCACCCTCCGCGCCTCCGACGACGACGACGACGACGGCGCGTGCTCTTCCGGGATGGCCTTCCACGCGCTATGCCGTTCGCGCCGGCCGACCACGGCGCGGCCTGCCGGACGGCTGCGAGTCCTCCAGCGACCTCCCGCTCCGGGAGTTCATCACGCTGCTGTTCGAGGCGTTCGAGTCGCTCGAGCCCGCCTTCGATGGCTTCCTCTCCGGCCTGGTTGATCAGGAGGGCACCACCGTCTGCGTCGTCGCCGACGGGTTCGTCGCATGGACGGTCGGCGTGGCGCGGCGGCGCGGGTGCCCGCGCACGCGTTCCTCGTGTCGTGCGGCGCGCTCGGCACGGCCGTCCTCGTCGGAGACAACGACCAGCGAACACGACGCCGTGCTCAGCTGGCTTGACACGCAGCGGCCGGCGTCGGTGCTCTACATATCCTTCGGCTCCCAGAACTCGATACGGCTGCACCAGACGACAAAGAGCTCGCGGCGGCGCTGGAGTCCAGCGGCCGTCCGTTCATCTGGGCCATCCGCCCGCCGGTGGGGTTCGACATGTATCAATGGCCAGTTCCGCGACGAGTGGCTGCCGGAAGGGTTCGAGCAGCGGGCGCGCGGCCACGTCGTTCACGGGTGGGCGCCGCGGGTGAGCATCCTCGCGCACGCATGACGCATCCACTGGCGCGTTCCTGAGCCACTGTGGGTGGAACTCGGTGCTGGAGAGCCTGACATGCGGCGTGCTGGTGGTCGGCTGGCCGTTGTCGGTGGTGGAAAGGGTGATGGGGGACACGGCGGAGGCGGCGGCACGGGTGAGGGAGGTCAAGAAGGTGATGGAGATGGCGTGGGCGGAGGGCGAGGGAGATGGCCATTCCCCATTTCATATCATAAGTTATTTTAATTTTTTTCTAGTCAAATTTCTTTAAATTTGATCGTGTTTACAAAAATTTTAGTAACATATATCATACCAAATTAGTTTCATTAATTACAATATTAAATATTTTGATAGTATGTTTGTTTTGTGTTAAAAATGTTACTATACTTATCTTGCCATCTTAGTCGAATTGTCAAATGTTTTTGTTAGGATACTTGTCGTTGTCGAATGTTAAGTGCATCCGTTGCTTCCTTTCAAAGTTTGTATCAAACGATCTTAATATATTTCCTTGGAGAAAAAAGTTTAAAATGAAAATAGAAGTTGATATTGAAAGTTCCTGACCTCAATCGAGGAATACTCCTTCCTGTCACTATAAATACTTTGTTGCTCTGTTTTTCTTTCCCTCCCCCTGTTCTGCTCTGTTTTCCATTCCCTCTCCTGACTCCTGTTCTGCTCTGTTTTTTTATTATTGTTAGATCGAGTCATTCGCATGGCTGAAGATTCTGTGGTCAAAAGCGTGAAGTTGAGCTCGATCTGTGCAATCTGTTTGCACGAGAGCACGTCGCACGGGACGATCTGTTGCGTCTGGGAATGCATTCACGCAAAGGAGTCATGCATGCAGGGCCAACGTGCGCATGTTCTTCCGTTTCCAGGAATAACAGGAGTAGAAGAATGAAAATTATGCTAGATGTATGCAGCACCCAAATCCTTGTTTTTTTGTGTATTGTTTCCAATTCTAATAAGTGGTATTAGAGCAAGGCGATCGACCACCCTAGGGAGCAATGTCTGCTACGGTGAGTCGTCATCATGGGTGTTGCAACGACTTCGGCGGCCGTGAGGACATTGTCGAGCGTGCGATCGATTGAGAAGAGCTTGGACTCGATCGTCTACCCCATTCTCACGCGACCCAACTACACCAAATGGTCCATGGTAAAGCACATTAACTTGCCTCCGTAGGACTTTTGTGGCAGGTGTTTGAGGCAAGGACCGATGAATTCCGCAATGACTACACCGCGCTCGTTGCCATCCTCCACGCGGTCACCGGAGATGTTGACGTCGCTCTCCCTTAAGAGCTCCATGAGAGAAGCCTAGGAGGTGATTCGAGCAGTGTGCGTCGACATTGAGTGTCTGAAGAAGGCAAATGCTCAAAAGCTTGATCAAAACTTTGCTGCGATCACCTTTAATGTGGGAAGGAGCATTGAGGATTTCTCCTTACACTCACCGGTCTCACCAATGAGTTGTGCATGCTTGGATATGACATCACTGAGAAGGAGGTGGTGAAGAAGTTGCAAGTGGTCCCCCAGTACCTTGAACAGGTGGCCTCTCCATCAAAACTCCTCTCAATCTTGATCTAAGCATAATTGAGCAGCGGAAGAAGTTGGAGTCTGCTTCTACCAGGGGCAACATCAGCACCCTTCTTCTTATCGAAGAGAACTGACTCACATGCATTTCAAAGCTCCCCAAGCAGGATAACCAATGGATGGTGGTCAACTTTGGGGCGCCCAACCACATGTGAGGAAACCAGTCCGCTTCCTCCAACCTTGATGGCTCACTCATCTAGATTGATGTGGCACATTCATCTTCGACTACAAGACTGAGAAGATTGCTCCTTCATTGGTGTCTACTACATCCCTAGATTGATGACAAACACCATGAGTGTGGGCTACAGGGCTAGCTCGACGAGATCAGATTTGAGGCCCTAGTTTGAGGCGGAGTCATGCGTGTCCGACGCAGAAAGGTATCTCCATGCCAAGATTCCAAGCACCCCGAACCAGCTATATATGCTCGACCTCACCATTGCGCAACAGGTGAGCCTTCTGGAAGGATGCCCAGAGGTGGTACACACACTTTAGTCACCTCAACTTCCCGATGTAATAGAAGCTAGCCCCAGAAAGGCTTTGACCAACTCTGCAACAGGTGCCTAGCTGACAAGTAGTTAGAATGTTCTCGAAACAAACATAGAATAGTGCAAAATGCATCCTCAAGTTGGTTTGCGGGGACCTTTGCAACCAGGCCATGTCTGTGATGCCTAGTGGTAAGAAGTTGTCTCTATTGCTTGTCAATGACTTCAGCAGGTTCATGCAGATTGAGATCCTCCTGTCAAAGGACTATGTGCTGGTTTCGATCAAACGGATTTGGGCGGCAGCACAGGCCCAAAATGGACACAATTTGAGCTCCCTCTTCACTGAGCATGGGGGAGTTTACATCGGCAAACTTTACAGAGCACTACACTACAACCGGAGTTTGATACTAACCCAACGCACCGTATTCACTGCCAAAACGGTGTGATAGAGCAGTAGAACCAATCCATTGTTGCGTCATTTGTAGTATGCTCAAGACCAAGGGGCTCCTAGGTTATTTCTGGGGCAGCAAGAGGATTGGAGGAAGAAGAGGAGGCAAGGGTAATTTCGTCTGGAATGACATTATAGCATAGACACATTAATTGAAAGTGGTATTTTATCAAATCCCTTTTAAGTGGCATTTGCGTGAAGCCCACTTCTGAGGATGGCATAATCTCAAGATTCTCATATTGATCAGCCTGTTAATACATCACTTCCATGATTTCGTGGGGACTTTTCCCCAATTAGGCCTTGTTCGTTTAATCCTCACCAATCTCTTCCTGATGGGGATTAAACGGATAAGGCTTTACATGGAAAACACACATACTCACACACCCGTGCAAACGCCCATAACATCGTTTAGGAAACATGTTTCTGCTGGCCGAGAGCAAGATCAAATGAAGTAAATGAGTAAGGACCAAGGAAAGCAAACATCTCTTCTCCAGCATTGGGTAGTTCTCTTGTAACCGGCACGACCTGCAAGCATTGTTTGTGATATACTTGTTAGATAAGAATAGAGAAGATGGGAAATCCTCAATTGCCAATTGAGTGTGTGGTAAATCCTCAACTTCAGAACTAAATTTGATTCTCTTACAGGACAAATAATCTGTTCCAAAAATCAGTAAAGATGATATATTATTGGTCAAAAGAGTATATAGTTTGAGCTACTTGGTTATTAGAAGCCTATGAAGAAACTTCAACATGAATAATCCAGTTTCGTAGTGGAGATCTTTTAGGGCTTACATGGGAAGAGTGAAATCCCAGCACATCCACATGGATTGACTGGAATTTCAGGTCTGCCAAGCAGGTCCTCAAGGAATACAATCGAATATAAGAAATGCCCTTTACTATATCCAGTTTATAATGCATGAAGCAGAAGTTTTTAATAACTGAAGTAAGTAACTGCCCTTACATTAGTGGGTTTACTGAATGAATTTTCGTCTGACAGATTTTTGGATGTGAGAATAGTGATTGTTGATTTCCGCATATTGACCAAAGCTTCAAGACCAGTTGTGGATACTATGAGGTTCACAGGGTTGGACCCAATGTTTACAATCTGCACAAGAATATCTGTAAATCAGTATGAGGTTTTAAACACATTCTTCCGACAGTAGAAACCATATCTGCGTGAGATTTTATTGAAATATGCCAATGTTCAAGATTGTGGTCCATATGTAAACTGGGCCATTTCAGTAATTATAGAATCAAACTACTCAGGCCATGAAGAAATTGGAAACTATTGGTTTTACCTTCACTCTCAAGAAGCTACTGTTACTGGCTTTCCAGGTTATTGCAGAAGCTGCTAATGAATTAGAATACATGGAGTTGATTGTCACTGGATGCAGCACAGCACCACTCGATTCGCGGAAAATTGTCTGCATCCAGTAACTAGGACTTCCATACTGTTTCCATGAGTTGAAGACGACAGCAGCTGGGTTCCACCTGATTGGATTAATTCAGATACAGTTATAGTGGAAGGTTAACAACACAAGAAATGTAGAAATCATAAGGCCATCGATACTGACGAGAGATCATTATCATTCATGAAGAGCGGTGCATAGCTGGCCATCTGAACAACATCACTGCAAAGAACAAGTAAATAGCCATCTCAATAGTCAACAGAGTGATCTTTGCGATAGTAATATAATTTATAGGATAAATTCCTTATATGCCACTGGCAATAGAGAATATAACCATGTGGTGAAGAAATTTGTGTGTGCATGTGGGGAATAGATCGATCACCTATTCTTCTCCAGTCCAGTGAGGAAAGCAGCCTCAGCCAGTGAGGCAAGAAGAGTTCCTCTACCTACACCATTACTTGAAACAGCATACTCACTGACAAAGGCCTGCACTCAGACCATATTCAGAAATATATTTACTGTCAAAGTGTCAAGGCATCTATAATGATGTAAATGAGCAAGAGAACTATTGTAAATAAACCTGCACTGAAATCATAGTACTGCAAAGGCATCTAGGTTGATGTAAGCAATAAAGATAACCAATGCAGGTTACAAGCTTCTCAAAACCTGTTTTTTTTTTACTTGTAATATTTTTGCTTTTTTTTTTTTTGCATTCTAAACTGTTTGGATATAATGACAAGATTTAATTGAACAAAAAAACTTATTGCTGAGGGAGTACAGACTATACCGTAATAGCTTGTACACATGAAAATAGCATAGTACATTATGGTACAAATTACTTAGGCTTCTCATATTCCTGACTTTCCTTTGTTTTCAGAGTAATAGATAAAGAAAAAGAAAACAAAAACTAACTAAATCAATCCATCTAATAAAGATCCATAAAGATATGAAAACGGACGCATACCTTTGTCCCATTCCGAGGCGTGCTGTCAAATTTGTTCCTCATAGAAAACAAAGTATTAGAATCCCCGTAGACCTGAAAAGAACATATATTATCATATTTTCAGAAAATCCAAGAATATTAACAGCAATAAATAAGAGAACAGATTTTGAACATTAACAACAGGAATTACAAGAATGTTGTGGTTTACATGGAAGTCATATATGTCAGCAGGATGGTCAAGTGGTTTAGATGAACCATCACAGTTTGAGATGATTTGAATGTCTGGATAAGCCTCTCTTATAGCACGATGGAACTTGAGGTAATTACCTGTTCAAGAGAATTGAAGAATACCTACAGTTTAAGTGGACTTTGTGCAGTGCCACAGAATTATGATGACATAGAGCTACTCAAAATCAACAAAACAAACTTGTTTAAATTAGGAGAACAAGGGCAGAATGCAGATAAAAATAGAGTAAGAATAAATTGCATTGTATTTTTTTATGAAGATCCATGTGAGAAAATTATTGAATTAATTCTACAAAAAAAAATTCTTGTATTGATGTTTTTTTTGCAAAATATGCCCAATCATAAAAATAGGTGTTTATATTTTGTGTTTAAAAACTACAGGAAAAGGTTGAGTAACTTATCTGCTTATACCAAAATTATTTATGTTTCCTTTTTCTTGACAAAGAATGAGCTTAATCCTTGTATACATAAACATAATCAACTTGTAGTGGGAAATAGATTTAATCCATAAGAAACTAACTGATATATTTACCATGGTAAAATTTTTTTGTACAGTCTTCGTTTCCAATTGTAACATATTTGACTGGAAATGGTTCAGGATGCCCCATTGCAACTCTAAGAGAGCCCCATGTTGAGTTGGTACTTCCCCTTGCAAATTCTAGGCTGTCCAGTATATCCTGGAGAAAAGACAATAACAAAAGATATGAGCCTCAGTTATAACTTATCCAAGTCTGGGGAAAATATGGGCAACGTGTGGTGAGATAATTAGTTGTTACTAACTTTTATCCATAAAAATGAACAAATTTAGAAAAAAAATTGTAAGTAATCCATTAATAATTTTGGGAAAAAAACAATCTGAACTTAACCCAAGGTGTTGTATCAATTTGTGCAGTACATGTAAATAAACCAAAGAACCATCTTAATAATGTCCCAATATTGATTATGATGGATAAACATCTACCATCATTTGAGCAGACCCATCATATATATAATAGCTGTCTCAGAAAGGATTGAGCAACAAAATTTCTATTTCTAATCCTTGATATATGTACAGGAAAAGTGAGAATTGCTACTTCCAATGTATTTACAAATGGAATTCATTCACTGCATCAAGATATGTCTATGCTGGTATAAAAATGAATTGGGAGCTCAAAACATGCCTTTACAAATGGAGCAATAGCCGTGGTATTAATCTCCTCATTGTGGCTGAAACCTGACATTTAAGAGGCAAAATTATTTCAATAAAGGCAGACGGTAGTGGTGATCAAAGATGCAATAAACACAAAAATAATTACCATTGTTGAACACCCAGATTGGGGCAGCACCCAGATCCTCAGAAAGCTTAGATGTTCAATTCAAAGGAAAATATGATTATGGAATAATCAAGAAAATGTAGAGCTGAAATAATGCCAATTGGTACCTGAAGAAACTCATAATATCCAAGGCCATCATCAGTCCAATAACCCCAGACATCACCAAAGTGTCCAGGCCTCTCCTCCCACGGACCAACAGACTCACGCCACCTGAATGCATTTCTTAACCACTGGCCTTCAACAAAGCAGCCTCCTGGAATAGTTCCCTTCAATCTAGTTAACTGTCCAAAATATGTCTGATCAAATATGTGCAACGATGGAAAGAATAATTCACATACCAGGAAACCTCATGAATTGTGGTTTTAAATCCAAAAGCATTGATACAAGTTCTTTCCGGAAACCATGACCCTGTACATACAAAGAAATGGAAGTTAAATATGGAAATAACCTCATGGCATACGTCATAAGCATGACTACTAGAAAGAGATCAAACTCAATGGATTAACAAACAAATAAATACAGACAGAAATGAAAGCTTTTATATGATCTTGGATAAAAGAAGAATCCAACTACAATTGACCTGTGAAATATACTTGGGTTCACTCTTCTGTTTGCTGTTCGAAGTATCAAGCAATACCTGTGAAACAAACTACAATGGTACCTTATACGTGTCTGAAGGCATGAGTGATATTTGATCCAACCATATGACACCTTTCTTGTTAGTTGTTATTTGAAGCCTTGAGGTTCTGTTTGTTCCTTTAGCAACCAACTTCTGCTCAAGTTTTGTCCAATTTGATGTACCAGCAACTCTATGGCAACAAAATACTATACACTGATGAAAATTGTAAAAATGAAAAGTTTACCCCGTTTTAGTAAACAAAGAATGCTTACTGTATGGTAGCAGAAGACAGATTTTGCAACCCATCAGAGCTTGTTAGTGAAACTGTTAACTCTGTATTTTCTAATGATTTAGCATACATGACAAGACTGTAGTTCTTTCCATCCTCTATGTTCTGTAAGTTGACATGACAAGGTCACATTATCCAGCTGAATTGGCAGGATTACACAATGTGTACTAAACATTTGCCTTACTTGAGAGCATGAAAGCAAACATTAACGAAAAGTTCCAAACAGAAACTGTGTATTTTCTGGTTAAATTTAATGAAAACATTTCGCAAAACGACAGCTATGAGATGAAAATTCAACCTCTGATCAACATAAGGTCATACCATGCCCCAGAATCCTGGATTGTAAATGCCAACACCACCAGCTTGGCAGTCACCACAGAGAACCTCCATCCTCAGAGCAATGATATTTCGACTGAAACATGATGATCGATCAGTTGCCACTGATATGACAGATTCATTTCCAATTATGGACCAAGGGTCAATGCTCGATGGAGTATTAGGGCCTCCAGCTTCGAAACCTGTATCATAAAATTCATGAGCTGGTTGAACTAAACTTCAGAAGGAAAATGCCTGTTTGAATGCTGTTTCCAGTTTATGCTCAAGTTTCGATGTCAAAAAATTGTTAAACAGAAAACAATTCTGTTATAGTATGGGCCAGTGCTGGGCAGAAATTATTTTCTATACTTCATAGCATGCACTTGTATTTATAAGCCATTACGATAACCTCTTTTATCCTCGGTTGGACCAGATAGGCATTGATCTCAATACTCATCTATTTTTGTAAGAGAGCCATTGAAATGTCAGTAATTGTTATAGATGTAGTTGCATTCCATAGCAAGTTCACCCAACCAAAATACCAAACACCACGTAGTAAACTCTCTCTACTATCTAATAACTTGACAAAAATTATTTCAAGAGGCACACAGCACAATCTAGAGATGAGATTAATGGCAGGCCAGTAGAAGTACCTCTGTTGCTGACAAGCTCTGCCCATATTCCACCTGCTCCAGCATGGTTGATCTCCTACAGTATTTTACCAAAGTAATCAGTAAGAATATGTAAACGTTCGTATTTAAAACTTGATAAGTCTTAACAAGTTAAGAACTGGGATATTTTTTCAAGGGAAGGAAACTAAAGTACCTCGAAAAATATCCCAAAGAGTGTCTCAGGGATCTTTCGAGCATGCTGCGGTGAGGCATCAACCTTGAGGACTGCCAGTTGGGTTGTGTTTACCTCTGAGGTTAAGCATTTGCAGCTCACACAGAGTAGAAGCAAGACGCAGAATATGATACGTCGGAATGCTTCTTTGGAGCCCATTAGTTGCTTGCTCCCACGTGAAACTTTGCATGCTAGCTGGGAACGAAAGGTACAAATATAAAACCATTGAAAGCTGAGAGCCGTTAAGAAGAAACAAAAAAACATAGTGAAACTGAAATTTGCAGAGACCTCCATCAAAAAAACAAATTTTCAGTGACTGATTTATGTTGTTCTTAAGGTAGCAAAAGCATTCGTTAACCATTAAACTGAGGACAATTTTGTTTGGACAGTAAGTTGTGTGACCCGTCCATCACCTAGTCCACTGGTTCAACACAAGATTTTTTTAAAAAATAAATGGAAGTTAACAAAATAAGAAGGGAGGGTACTTAAGTTTAAAAAGATATTGGCTTAAAGTCAAGGAATAAGTCTAAACAAAGATTACTGGCAAAATAAACTAAATAGAACAGAACACTCAATACAAAGAAGAAACAATAACTAAACATTCATCATGAAAACAAGATAATATATCTGAATCCACGATCACACAGCATAGATCAATGTATCACCAAAAACATCACAGGGATCAATATCAGGTAAAAGTACAGAGAGATTTCTCACCATAAACCCAGCCAGGCAGCAACCAACACCTCAGACCTTCTCAGGAAGGTACAGGTGTACATTTAATGTAACACTAGAGGATCGCTGGAGGTACTTAAATAGACAAACATGGTAGGCGTTAAACTTGACATCATCAGTAACTTCGGAATTGGTAAAACTTTGCTCAAGCAGTTGAGTTGGTATACTGTCCCAATTGCCGTATGTTCCTCAAGATAAAGTGCATGTATGATCTCTGATGGATTTTGACTTTACCAGATGACCTTGTTTCTTAGGTTGTTTGAATTTTTTTTACACGTTTTCTTGCCTTGCTACCTTTTTATTAGAATATACTCATCAGTGTGGACATGTTTGGATAAGGGGAGATTTGATTGGGATTCGGGGGCCTGTTAAAAAATAAACAATAAATGTCACTGTTGCTTGTTCACATGTTGCACAAAGTCTATTACAGTAGAACGAGGTTTCTTGGTTTCTTGATGCAAAAGACGAGTTTTCAAGAAAAAAGGGGCTAGAAACAAAAGAAAGCACATAATTAATCATTTGGTATGTCAGCCATGCAGCTTTTCAATACGTTCATCTCAACCTGTTCTGCACATAACAGCAAAAGTAATGATAATAATAGTAACTGTCTTTCGAATTGACCATGAACATTATTAGATTTAATAAGAACAAATGAAAGAAAGTCAGCTCTAGAAAAGTCTTTCACACGCATGTACTGCTCGTGCTACTGACAGACATGGTCAGTCATACACAGCTACACACAATCTACAAAAACCAAAGAACCGACCAAAGTGAGCCCAGGTGTCCAACCTAATACTAGATACTACAGTGCTTAGTGCTTACCGACTTCATTTTAAATGGATTTAGAAAGAAGATGGACGAAATCGGAGTATGTATGAAAGAGGACTCTGGGGGAGATTTTTAACAGAAAAAGGAAAACAAAAACTTACAGGTGGGACCCGTTGAGGTATGGAATATCATCGAATCTTTCTTTTAGTTGACATTTAGAAAAGAAAACTATGATATTGACATGTGGGCCCCCATTCCATGGTAACTATAGGTACGGACTTTGTTCAGTCATCAGTTATAGGAACAGCATTTGCAGAGCTGTTTTGGCTGTTCTTTTCTTTTTTCTTTTTTTTTTTTGCTTGAAGGAAAAATATGATGTTGCATGCAATTAAGAAAATCTCAGGCACTTTATGCCCATCAATTGCTCTTTGTGAAAATTACATGAATTATCGGTAACTTCAATGATATCAGAGATTCAGAGATAAGACATCATTTGTATGAACCCAAATCCAAGTTGATCAATGCATCCATGTGGGTATAACCCAGGATTTAATTTCAATTCCACACAAATGAATGGACCAGGATTTAGGTACATCAAATCATGATCTTGTGATGCCCATCGTTTGGCTGTTTGGTGGAATAAGCCTAACGGTATATTTATAAATAAAAAATAATTTGTGAATAAAACTTTTATATACGTGTTCTAAACGATCTAAAAACAAAAGCTGAAAAATAAACTACGATGAAAAAACACCAAAATCAACTCTAAATTTAAGGTTCAAAATTCAAATTTTTGTTGATAAGCATAAGTATAATCGAAAAGATGAGACCCGTCCGTATGCTTGGCTTCGTTCTCATGTTAAATGGGTGAATAGCTGAATTATTTGTGACGATTATATAATGGTACAAATAAATTAATTAAATAAGTCCTAAGCTTAGCACGGTGCTCACATTTACGGCTAATATTTTGTCAATGACCAACAGTCGATGATAGCAAGACACCCGTAACAACAGTCAATTTAAAAACATGTCAGCTCAATTTTTTGAAGATGCTCGTATAGATATTGTGTGCACGCGTGTATACAAGCAACTGCATTTGTTTTTGTGGTTGAAAATATATTATAAAGCTCAAATTTGGATTTAAATCGGTTCTCTAATAAATTGATATATCGAAAGTTTTTTTGCGCACCGTTTATAAGGTCAAGAAGCATGCACATTCATCCGTCATTGCATTCCTTGATAAAGATCAGGGCAATCCAGAAAGTAATTTCGGCTATGGTGCACGAGAACAGATTACCAGTAATTCATGAACGTCGATAAAGCACGAACTGAACGTCCCCAGCCATGATGTCAGCTATCACTACGGAGGAAAAGTCATCTCTTACAATTTGCTAAGAAACAAGCATACAAGTAGATATACATTCACACTAGATCTAGAGATGTATTTGCCAACAGACTCAAGAGCACAAATCCCCATTTCTCTTCTACATAGATTTTGCATAGTTATCTCAGTACAACGGCAGCATTTCTCAGTGCCAGATACCTTTGGACATATTCATCAGGAAGCATTCGGATTTGCTTGAACACTTCTGGATCAGCATAGCGCAGCTTTGTCCTTGGATCCACATATGGTGCCTGCAAGAAAATATACAATTATTATCCACACAACACAAGAAATAGGCACACAAAACACCATTGCAGTCGAAGAGCAAATAGAGAATGCAAGACCAAGTGATATTATCAATGTTTGTCTCAGTTTATTTTGTGCTCCCCATTAGCGGAGTATTAGGTGTGAGCATTAAAGCGTTGTTGGGCGCAAATAAAGCTTCTAGTGGATTACAGATAAGTTGATGTCCAAGACAAACCATTACTAACAAGATAGAACAGGAAATTCTTGGTGAAACGTCATGTCAGTCACATATGCTCTAACATTTTTCAATGTCAGTGAAGTATCCTGGCCAAAACAGTAACTTAAATGCTCTCTAAGTAGAGAAATTGGACACCTAATACTCCCTCCATTTCATATTATAAGTCCCTTTGACTTTTTTCTTAGTCAAACTTTTTTGTTTGACTAAGTTTATAGAAAAATTTAACAATATATAAAACACCAAATTAACAATGAATATATTTTGATAATAGATTTATTTTGTGTTGAAAATGCTACTATGTTTATCTAAAAACTTGATCAAACTTAAAGAAGCTTAACTAAGAAAAAGTCAAAATAACTTATAATATGAAAGAGAGGGAGTAGTAACTAAGTGCTATTTAGGACCAAAATTGGACTTCTAAGTTCGACTAACAATACTTATGCACTGAAACACCTAAAAGCCCAATCCACTACAGTTTTGGCCTATGTGGCAACAAGAAGGCTCCAAATGTCATCTTCTATTGCTGATTTAGCCAGGTAACTAGTAACAATTTAAACAAGATAACTGAAAACAACAGCAATTCCATATTCACTCCCTCGCGCTCTCAGTACCTCTCAGGCAGCCTCAATTTCATGCTCAGTAACTTGTCTGCAGTAGAATTGAGAATTTGAGATACTATCTCATGTTGGACATGTTAGCGACACATGATTCAGTGGTAATGTAAGCAACGATCCTCCACCCTCATATGCACCACCATGATTACAGGTGGGGAAATAAAGCTCATTTATGTCCATGAGGCGTTCACAACAGGGAAGGAATTTGAGATGGCAGCTTTGCAGTATGAGCTGCATGTAGGATCAGTCTAAGGGCCAGCTCCTCATTTAGCTAACACGAATACTACACAACTCTATCAAATGAATCAAGAAATGTATTGTGTTTGCAGGAGCAAAAGAGGATTTGGGAGGTGGCATGGATTGCTGACTAGGAGAGATGTAGAAGGCATGATGACATACTAGGGAAAATTGCACCTGTGGTGGAGCTCAGAGGCCATGAAGCTATGCACTTGAGTTTAGCCTAGGTCACATTGAGAATGTATTTTTTTTAAACAGACAGAGGAAGAGATTTGATATTTGACAACAATAAGAAGGAAAAGTAGGCATGGAAGATATCCAATCTACTGATGACTGTCGTCAAGCAAATACCACTACGGTATATGCTGAGGCAGTTTTAGAACAGAGAGATGTAAAGGTTGAGGATTTCAAAGTTCAGAGGGTGGAAAATAAGGATCCGATGATAGCATGGACAAAAGGTTGAGTTATTATATAGAATTTAATTGGATATCTTCGCCTATAGAGTGAGTTAATGACAATGGTGTACTATCACTACCACATGTTTTTTTTTCCTAACAATTCCAAAAGATTTAATTGCTGGAATCTTTTGTTGCTGTATACATGCATGTGTTCGTAATCCTTTACAGAGGATTGAATTCTCCAGACATGTAGCTTGTCTATTGTGATAACATTTTCTGTGGATTATTGATCTGATGCTAATCATATACGGGATTTTAATTTGAGCATTTGAGATCCAACTCAAAGAATGTCGACTTTGATAATATTACTAAACCGCGAGATATTGTATAGCCCATCTAGCTCAGAAGATATTTAGATCAATTTAAACTCAGTAGTAAGTAGCATAAAATGAACATTCAAAATAACAAGAAAACATGCAAATCCAACAAGACGAACTCACAGCAAAGTAACTAACCTCAAAACCAGTTATGTCACAATATCTCTTGGGTGGATAAATTGATGGGGGCGACTGGATATTCAAATCTGCACAAAACACCATAATGTAAGAATAAAGACAAATGCAATAGCCTCAGTATGGAAAAGTGATAATATGTGGCATAATTAACTTAACATCAATTTTCAGCCATGCCTTGTGATTTATAACATTAATGGCCAATCAAATAATTAAGATAAGAGGTGTCCACGGCAAGTTTGGTTTATAATCCTCCAAAGGATGGGGCTGGCCCATATAGCCCCAGGTCCAGATACAACCAATTTATCAAGGTGGTGGTCAAGGGTGATGAGAGGAAGGGACAAAGACACCAAGAACGGACTTAGCTCTCATCATTTTGGTACTGTGGGAGATTGGGAAGCATAGAAATGACAATGTGCTTAATGGTGTTAACCCTTGTGTAACTGCTGTCCTCCAAACAGTGGCCAATAAGTGTATCATGTGGTCGCTAGCCGGGGCTTCTAGACTAAAGGAGTTCCGTGAGAGGTCGATAGCCCCTCGGAGGTGAGGTTTTTGCGTGTGTTGTAAAGACTCTGGCCTGTTTTGGACCGGGTTGGTGGCCACTGCTCCCTTTCCATTCTCTCCTCTTAATGAAATGGTACCCAATTATCTTGCTTATTAAAAAAAAGCTTATAAAAAAGCAAGAATGATAAGTAGGACAACGGATCCTAATATTTCTCATAGCATGGTATTGCATCAAACTGAATCAAAGTTAATTACTACATTTATGTAACAAGTGACAACCCAACATATCACGACACATTCACAGCCCACGCTTCTCCTTCAGGAGATGTAAGAATAAATACCTCATGATGTTAAGAAGTGAAACAAATACATCTTATGATCTCATAGAATAAATTTGATTCTTAGTTCACTTGCCTATCAATGCTGACTCATACACAACCAGAAAAAAAAATAGTACCTCATGATATCCCTTATCATAAACAATACTAGTATCAATATCAACCATCAAAATACCAAAAGCCAGAATCATATGATCAAAGATACAAATTCTGTCATCTGCTTAGACATGGTGAACAACACAGCAATACATGATTATATGATATGTACAAATGATCCACTTTGCTTAATGACTCATTAATCATTTTGGAAATATTATGTTCCTGTTCCTATGTTTATCTAATGCCAGTATGCACAACATATGTACTAGTACTATATTTATTAAAAATATTAAGATGAACATATTGTTGTAAAACATAACTTATTTCTGAATATTGTTGTAATTTCTATACACATCACTTGCTGATCATGCTGCCATCAGACACCCATATCATTAGTGCTCATCTCATCCTAACAGACTAATTAAAAGTTTAACACTAATGAGGTAGAGGTGAGCATTTACCTTTAGGCTGACTTATTAGATTAAATATTTTAGAAATGTTTGTACTGAAACTAGAAATCTCTCATAATATTTGTATGAAAAAAATCCTTATTGTACCATTGTCGGGGCCTGTTTATTTTGCTTTTGATTCTCACAATCCTGCTTCTGGAATGTTATTTTCACAAGGGGGATTCTTAAAAGCTGATTGTGGATTTGGCTTTTGATACAATGAAATGCACCATCTATGTTAATACTCTTATGTTATAACATTACCGCTTAAAATCCACAAAAGCAGCTCCGTACCTGCTTTTGGACTTCAGTAGAAAAACATCGTTTGATTATTAAGAATCCGCTTCCAGAACCAAGTTGTTTGCACGGACTCAGATTGCTTATCCAGATTATTTGGGAGAGTAAACAAATGATGATAACCCTATCCAATTGGTTTGCGTTTTCACGGTAGATGGACGGTTCGCAACAAGACAAGGCATATGAACATGTAGCTTCCGTAGCCTCAAAAATCTATTAGATTACCACCAAATCTAAACCATATTAAGTTATTCACATAGTAACATTGTAAAATTGCAACAGAACATAAGAACAATCTAATGCGCAATCACAATAGCAACCGTTGGCTGGACAAGGGCCTAACATGAATAATGCATAGCATCGAATTCTCAATCCCTAACCAGATAAATCTCCCAATGCCAACAAGGGCTCGTTGACCTATAGAAGTGAATCCACACAAATCCTCGATGAGTAGTACAATCACAAGCGCCCAACAACCAACAAGGTAGATAAATCCACACCATTAAACTGATCCCAATGAAGAAATCGGCAGATTAATTGAGCGGGGAGGGGGGAGGGGGGGAAGATTGGTTTGGATCGGAGGCGCTTACAGTTGGGGCGGTCGGGGGGAAGGGAGGTGGCGTCGGCGGCCTGGAGGAGGAGGCGGAGGTGCTTCCACTGGCGGCCGCGGGACTGGCCCTTGGGGTACTTGTCGGCGATCTGCACCTTCTTGAAGGGAAACGTCGCCGCGAGCACCATCTCCGTCTTCACCACCTCCGACTCCATGCTCCGATCTCCACGCCTCGACTAGGTGAGACAGAGATAGAGAGAGAGCCGGGGTCGACGCGCCGGCGCAGGCCTCCACCTGCTGGCGGGTGGGGGCTGAGGCGTTCGGGAGGACGCGCCGGGAACGGCCGGAGTTGGTGGGGGCTGGTTGCGGCGGTGGACGGCGGCGGCGGCGGCGTTCCGAAACGAGAAGGGTGGAGAGAATTAGAGGACAGATGTGGGCCCCACCTATCAGTCTCAGGGGAAGAAGGAAGGAAAATGAACCCGCCCCCGCTTTTAACTATTTGCCACATTTAGATTTGGCAATTAACTATTTGTCACATCTATCTCAATGATACGTGGGTTCACATGTGTCTATGACATGTGGGTCCAGTGATAAATAGTTGATTGATACATCTAAAAGTGACATACTGTTCATCATCGAGCACGACCTTAGGTTATCAAAAAGTGACAGAATACGAGGTGTGAGGGGTCCAAAGGTGTCTTAATCGGTTATGTGAATGCACTAACTCGATCAAACTAACTTCGGACCCTTAGGCTGCGTTCAGCAGCGTAACATTGTGAGTTTGTGTGTTTCGTTTTCCGCGCGCACGCTTCCCGAGTATGTTTTTTTTAAAAAAAAATTGTATAAGAAAGTTGCTTTAAAAAATCATATTAAACTATTTTTAAAATTTAAAATAATTAATATTCAATTAATCATGCGTTAATGGCTCACCTCATTTTGCGTATATTTCCAATCTCGTCTATCTCATTCTCCTCAAACACAGCATTAGCAACTCATTATGTGGTGATTCGATAATTTAGCTACTATCTACACTTTAATACTCGTAGCAAATAGATATTGTAGTACAGTCCTTCCAATTATCAAAAAAAATGACACATTACTAGATTCTCAATGGCGCAAGGTGTCTTCGCTAGTTATTGTAAGTTTTCAACGGCACATGAAAGCGAAAGAAATCAGAATTTCAGATTGGCTAAATATCAAGAATTTCAGTATGCTTTGTTTCCGCGACTTTAATGCAGAAGCAAAAGGTCAAGATGCACATCCTTCCTAGACTGCAGAAATACCTTCATGCCCACTTGTCACACCCGAATTTTTCCCCTTTTCGTAGTAATTCACTAATAAATTGTCTAAAAAATTACTTTGGTTAACTAGGAAAAAAACCCTAATTAACAACATGTTTAATAATCGAAAATGTTTGGGAGATTTCTTTTCAAATTCTCTTTGCTCTTAAAGCACTAACGGGATTTAAAGCGAAATATCCAGAGCATCGGAATAAATATTGATAATTTAAAATGTCAAGATTTACATTAATGTTAATCTTTCTTTCCAGCCTTTGGTCGTGAATCGTGCCCGATTCACTCCGCTCTCCGTCCGCGATTTCATTTTGCATAACGACCCGAGTCCGAATCTTATTCCGGTTCCGGTTCCGTTCTTTTCCTAAAACGGCACTGCATCTTTTTCCTTTCCCTTTCCCTATTTGTTACCCTATTCTTTTCAGTTTCCCCCTCCCTCTCCCCACTGCCGTGCGCCCCCTTCCCCCTAGCCAACCGAGCCGAGTCAATCTCCTGCCCATATTCGGATTCCTCCCCCTCCTCCTCCCAATCCGAGTCTCACAAGGCCCACCTATCCACTTATTTTTTCCCCCTATATAAGTATTCATACCCCATATTTTTCTTATTTCCCACATAATCACCAAACCCCCAGCCCTAGCCGCCGCCCCTCCCTTGTGCGCCCACAGTCCCACCAGCTGCTGGCCACAGTGCCACCGCACAGTTCGTCATCACCTTCGCTGCGTTGCGTCACCGGTAATCCGTACTCCCTCTCGGTATCTTGGTTGATGCCTATACCCATCCATCTATATTCTAATATATTCCGTTTAATCTCATCTAGCACCGTCGTCATCGATCCCGAGCTTGCCATTGGAACCACCGTTGCCGTCGTCATCTCCTCTCCGGTACTTGTCACTCTCCGGTGAGGTTTCCATCCTGTTTTTAGGGTTTGTTTTTCCTTCACTCGTGTTGGCTTGCGTCGTCGCGTTGTTGCCATGCAGCTACCCTAACCCCAGCTTCCGCGCGCCACTGCTACCACGCCACTACCGTGCTGCTGCTCTAGCGCCGCCGCCGCTTGTCATGTCGTCGCCGTATGTGTTGTGCGTGCCTAGTTGCTTAAACTGCTGCGCCGCTGCAGTGCCGATGTCGCTGCTGCTGTGCCAAGCCGAGCCGCGCCGCTGCCGCTTTGCTGCCGCCGCTTTGCCGCCGCCGCCACTGCTTTGCTGCCAAGCCGAGCCGCTGTTAAGTCCCGCTGTGCCGTGGCTGTGTCTCGCTAAAACCTAGCCACCGTCTTGACCTAAAGCTCAGTAGTTAAGTTGTAAAGCCATAGGTGCATCTCTAAACTCCTACCGATCAATCGTTTTCCGCACCGAGTCTTTGCCGTAAACGTGTCTAGTCTACCGGTTCAGCCGTAGTCGTTTGTTAGGTTGTTAATGGTTCGTTTGCACGAAGTGCTGTCCACTGCTTCATTCGTCCAGTCGTTTTGAGTCATTCTTTAGTTTGAGCCATGTTAAGCCGCCGGTTCTATTCGCCGGTTTCGGTTGATCATTTGGATGGTCCCGCGTCACGATATATTGACTCATTGAGTTGTTAACTCGTGAGGCTTGTTTACCGATGATATATTTTCTTTGATGTAATTTATCTATGGGCATTACTATATGATAAATGAGTAAACAACACAGTTCATATTGTAAAATTCATATCTAAATCATTCGAGCTCCGTTTTAATCTATTCAAGTTGCAGTGAATTTGCTAAAATGTCTAGAATCCATTAAAATTGGTTCCTTTTGCTGTTTCAGTAGCCTTATTATGTATTGCTTGTGTGCTTTGTTTGTCGTATAGAATCCGGCAGTTCCGACGCTCCAGTCTCTTTTGAAGTTCGCCGAGGTCCTGTCAGCTCAAGAGCAAGCCAAGTCATACGAATATCATTGATCATGTTGAACCTACTTTGCAAAATCCCCGCTTTTCTATTAAACTGCATTATTTTATAATGTCATGTGGGGTGGATATTTACCGTACTCAGCCTATTGTTTACCCTATGTCATTGATAGCCTCGGATATTAATTTATTAGATGATTGGTTTAGGAATGATTAGCCATGCTTAGATCAATTAGCTCACAATGGGATTCATTATGATTTTAGTCCTTAATCATTATGATACTATGCCGCCATGGTATTGTTGGTATTTTTTTAACGACATTACTAGAAATATAATTTCCAGCAATGGCACAGAAATATTCATGGTATATTATGGTTACAGACTTCATCCACAAGCGCACGAATATACCATTGTAGCATTTCACCCGAGAGTATTTCAAGGGTATCATATTTGTTTAATCCCGTGGGAAGATTATAATAGAGAGAACTATACTAATATTTATATATTACTTGTAATAATCAAAGTCTAAGCAGGGGTTAAGGTAAATTCAAGGGTAGGGTGACACAAAGCAGAACACTCATCATTCTCATATAAACTAATTCTAGGCTAATGGAAATAATAAGAAAGGAATCAATTCCTATAATTCTAATATACATACATACAACTTTAGTCAATATTATCTACTATATAATTGTATAGTCAATACCCTCTTACGATGCCCTCCTAGTGTTTCGAGATACCATCCCTGGTTGCCGAGTTCCTTACGACAACCCGTCATGGCCATCCAACCGGGGCTAAATACGGAGGAGTACCCTCCCCAGGAAATTGTACTTAGGACTATATGCTAATGTGGAGGAATAACCGTACTGAGCTGTCACCATCAGCGGCCCACCTCTGCTGTCCCGTAGCATATAATCCCAAATAATGATATCCAGCGGCCTAAGCACCTCGCTTATGCTACCAAATACTACTCTAATATCATCGTCATGACACAGAGCAATCATATACATGAACATTATACCCACACCATTGCATCTCCCGAGTAAGCTAGCTAGACAATTATATATCAAATAACATATTGGAAAGCTAGTACTCAGATGATCAGAATGAAGCAAAGTACTGTATATATATTTAGAAGAATATTCTAAAAATAGTACAAGTCTTACAAAAGAAGGAAAAGCTACTAGAGCAATACCCGAACTTTTCCCGAAGTCTCCGAGGACTGAAGACTCTATTCTATTTCTATTCCACTATACTCTAGACACTAAACTAAACTTTGAGAAAGATGATTGAGCTCTTGCTTGAGTATGTCCTGGAGTGGAGGATGAGAGCTCCTTTTATAACCTCCCAATGACAGTTGCGACGGTTGGAATTGTTGGAAATACCCTCCAACCGTCATTGGGGCTAATCTACACCGTCCAGGCAAAGCCTTGGATCAAACGGCGACGAGGGGGGTTCGGCTGCACCCGAGGTTCGACCGAACCAGGGGCCGGCCCAACCAGCCCAGGTTTTGGCTGGTTGCCTCCTTATGTTCTTCTTTTCGCAGACTTGTGAATTTTGGCCCATTTTGGTCGTGTCATTTCTGAGTTCTTGGCCCATCCATTCATAAGTCTGATTCTCGACAGTGTCTGATTGATTGATCGTTTATTTCACTGTTGATTCTCCTCCATTTTGTATTTATTCTCTACAAAAGGTTAGAAAGCACAGTGCTAGTGGAATATATCTTATTCTAACATAATATGCATTGCAAACATAACTAGTTCTCCTTTATTTTAGTAATATTGATGGGCGAAACTGATCGCTAACGACCGTCAACATGTATACAAGTAATTAAACTAAAATATATTTTAATGGTGGGTTGTGGGTGCATGATTTTGCAAGTCGTGTCCATAACAATTAAGGACCGGTTCTCGGGAATCCTTGGAAGATATACACGTACAAACCACAAGCTAGCATGGGCTCCAGGCTTGACCTGAAGTATAATCTTTTCTAGCTAACATACCGTGGCAAGGGTGGCCGTCATGGAGTATGGATGGAGCGGGAGCCGGTCTATGCTGCTTCCGGATTAACCTAGGCACAAGAGGGGGCTGCCCAATGCCTGTTTAGGGGTGGGGGTGAAACCTGAGGTGGGATGTTGGTTAGGGAGGGTTATATGAAGGGTTTTGTCACGATTTGCACCTTTGCAGTATCGCGGTGTTACTTCGAGGCATGATAACATGTGTCGAATCGCATCTTGTGGGTAAATTTGTACACCTCTAATCAGAGTAAAACTATTCGAATAGTCGTGCCCGTGGTTATTGGGCGGTCAACCAG